GAGCATTGTCCCATGCACTGAAAGGTCAAAGTCAATGGTTCAATTTCCAGTCAGGGCACATACCCAGATTGCAGGTACGATTTCCTATCGGGGCATATGCAGGAGGCAACCAATCGATGTTGCTCTCTTACATCGATCTCTCTCTCTTCCCTCCCTCTGTCTCTCTAAACTCAATAAAATAAAATTTAAAACGTTAAAAAAAATGATTGATGTTTTAAAAAAAGTTTCAGAATGACTGTTGGTTATTACTAAAGTGAAAAATATGGTGTGATCCCAAGGCCTGATTTGTCTGGTTCTGGAGCTCAAGGGTTTGAGTTAAGGCTCCTTGCACCCATAGACATCCGTTTTTCAGTATTGGTTGAGCCTTCCCTCTGCCCTATTAATTGGCAACATATTTTTTTAGGGCATTCTTGTCTATAAGTGTCTTGAGGCAGAGTGAGGCTGGGTATTTGTTGGGAATCTCTTGACTTAGCAGACAGAGGAATCTCATGGCAATTAGGGTTTGGTGGCTAAAGAAAAGGGCTATAGTGCAAAGAGGAGATTATTTTCACGTGATGAGTCTGGGCCGTCCATCCTCAGACTACTGTCTGTACTGCTTGAATGGCAGGTAAATAGCTCTCCCTATTTGTTTCTAGCTTTGAAGACATTTATTCCTCTGGCTATAGGCTGAGGAAACCTGGCAAGCTTAGAAGGTGCACAGAGCATGACAGAAGCACTCCTGTACAGCAGCTGTGTCAAGGAGGAGGATCTGGAAAAGTGGACTTGCTGGGGATGAGGTACATTTTAGAAGCTATCCACTTAAACACCATAACTGCCTTCTCCAGCATAGCATATTTAGGTTTTTTAGGCCAGCATGGCTTACACACTGTCCTCTTGCTCTGGGCTGCAGCAGTTTCACTACTATCCCTCTTGACAATGTCTTTTGGGGACAAAGAAATCATGAAGGACCTTGGTAGGGAGCCCTCCATCACTCTTCCCCACCTTCTGAAGGCAAGAAACTTTACTCTTAAAAGAGTCCGTGAGAGCTCCCAGCCAGTTTTTTGAAAAAGGCCTGTGAATTGTTAATGGAAATGCACTGGGAAAGAAGGAGGGGCTTGGGTACTTTGAAGTGCTTGTCTAGGTATCTTGTACAGTATCTTATTTAATTGCATCTTCACAGCCTTCGCGTGAAGGAGCTTATCAGTTAACTTCAATTGTGTATAACAAAACCCCAATTAAGTTGGCTTAAATAAGGAAACACACATGACAAGAGGTCATTTAATATGGCTCCGAGTTTGGTTAATTCAGTGGCTTGAGGATAATACCAAAAACTAGGTTCTTGAAATCTTTTTACTGTGCTGTCCTCTGTGTTGGTTTACACTCATGCTAGTTCACCTCAGAGTCCCAAGATGACTACCATAATCCCAGAAGGAAATGCTGACAGAACAGTGTCTTACAGAAGAGGGACTAATTTTTTCCAGTGTTTCATTTAAAGTGAGAAAATCCTTGGAAGCCCAGCAGATCTGGCCTCATGTCTCATTTGCTAGAAATGGGTCATCCTCCCACTCCTGTCATTGGCAGAGCAAATGAGATCATCCATCATGAGTGGCTGAGATTAATTAGGGGTTACCCTCTAAATCATGTGGATTAGAAAGACAAGTCATGTCTGTTAGGTGAGAAAGAAAGGGATAAGGGTTTAGGTAGGGATCCAGCCAGCAGTGTCTGCTCTATGTAGGTCCTTGGGTTTTTAAGGATCAGGAATGTAAGGCTAAGAGAGAGTGACTTTTCTAGGATCACAGATAGTAGGTGAGAGCCTTCAGCCTCAGCACTGTCCCTAAAGCCAGTATGTTTTTTTTTTTTAATATATTTTATTGATTTTTTACAGAGAAGAAGGGAGAGGGACAGAGAGTTAGAAACATCGATAAGAGAGATTGATCAGCCGCCTCCTGCATACCCCCCACTGGGGATGTGCCCACAATCAAGGCACATACCCCTGACCGGAATCGAACCCGGGACCCCTGAGTCCGCAGGCCGATGCTCTATCCACTGAGCCAAACCGGCTCGGCTGTTTTTATTTTTAATATATTTTTTGAAAAATATATTTTTATTGACTTCCAGGAGAGGAAGGATGAAGGAGTGAGATAGAAATATCAATGAGAGAATCATCAATTGCCTGCTTCCTGTGTGCAATTGAGCCTGACCTCCATGACCTCCTGGTTCATATGTCGATGCTCAACCATTGAGCACACTGGCTGGGCGAAAGCCAGTATGTTTTATATTGTGTCCTGCTGCAGTACAAAGTACACCTGACCCTTGAACAACACAGGCTTAAACTGCACAGGTGGGTTTTTCTTTTTTAATATACGGATATTTTTTTCAATAAATATTTAGCCTTCTGTATTTTTCAGGTTTCCCACCTGCAGAGTCAACCAGTTGCGGATTGAAACAGTATTTTCAGTCCCCCATCAATAGATGTTGAGAGCTGACTGTATGCATTGTTCTACACCATTTTATATAAGGGACTTGAGCATTCTTGGATTTTGGTATATGCAGGGGGTCCTGGAACTAATCCCTGAAGGAGGATCATAGTTAAGTCTTGGGAGAATCAAAAGTTATATGCTGGTTTTCAACTGTGTGGGAATCGGCGATCCTATCCCCTGTGTTATTCAGGAGTCACCTGTAGCTTGATTTCTGCTGTTTAAAAACTTCTGGTCTAGAAGAGATTTTAAACTCAAGTGTCACATCAACTAACTTGAGCCTATATGAGAGGAGAGGATTCCATCCAATTGTTCCCCTTATCCAGTGATGGTGTTTATCTAGGACAGGAAGCCTAGGAATGCAACATTCAGCCAGCAGTGATTTTGTTGCCCCTGATATTTCTGTACCCCCTTTTGAGAGCAGCCAGTGCCTCAAGGGATAACGGCAGAGTTTTAGCCTATTTCCTGAGCCATTGAAGCCCACTCATTCATCCATCCCTCCCACAGCTATTTACAGAATGCTGCTATGTGCCAGGCACTGGCACTGTTCTAGGCATTGGGGCTGTAACAGTTAACAAGATGCACAAAGACTCTCCTGTATGCCCTTAAGAGCAGACTCATTTGGGAATGAGGTTATCAAAAAATAGTGTGTGCATATGGTCAGGAGTACGCCTCATAGAATTTTGCTTTTGGCAGAATCATTCAAACTTTTTTGCTTTCTCACTTCCTGATACTACAGTTCATGAGCCTTTCATATGAACTCACTATAAAGAGGTGGGGTCCCTGGATAGCAGAAGTAGATGGTAAGGCATCATTGACATTTGCTAAATTGGATCCAATTGAAAGGTCCAAATCCTGTCAGTGTCAACAAAGAAGATAGTGGCCTACTTCCAGGGTTCATCACCATCACCATGTCTACTCTGGAAGACACCGAAGAAGCCTGCATCATTAGAAAACAGTTCCAGAATTAATTAAGGTTGAAGGTGTGAGAAACCCTTGCACAACAGTTGGTATTTACTCTGTTTGATGCTCCCATAGACTTGGATTGTGTACGGTCAAGGATTGAAAATAATTTTGAAGATACAATATTTCATCTGGTGACACTAAATTTGACATTTTTAAATTTGGGAGGGCATTTTCAGTAAAAGGTGTAAGGATGGAAAGGAAGAAATTAGAATTGGAATCAGATGTGGGTTTGAATAAAACTTATAAAGTGTTTACAGGTAGGCACCTCTAATAAGTGCTTTAAAATAGTTAATATAATAGTAACCATTTTAGTAAATGCTAAAAGAATAACCAAAACAATAACTACTTTTTAAATTCACTAACATTTAGGGAGGGTTTTCTTTGTGCTTTAGTTACATTTCCTAACTTCACAATTCTAAGGTACATGTTATTCTTTCCATTTTTTAGATTAGGAAACTGAAGCCCAGAAACTCAAGTGACTGATCCAAAGTCCTACAGTGATTGGGGCATGGGGGGAAGCACACTTAAGATAGGGCACTTTTTCTTCTTTTTTGTCCCAAGCTTTAATAAAAGAATGAACTTTGATTTTAAAAAGTCTAACCATTACTGATGCTTAAAGACAGGGAAAAGTCATGAATCATCAGCCTGAATAAAATAGTATCACCATTAACGTTTACATTTTAGTGGGAGAGAGCAGTAGTAAAAAGAAATTACAGATTAGGACAGGAATACTGTAATAGAAAAACAGGTGTCCCACCATACCCGAAAAGCCCTCTCAGATAAATCTTAAGTTGAGGCATTAAAAGGCAAGAGAGGAAAGAGGATTCCTGGCTAAGGAATCGAAGCAGAGGACCCCAAGCCGGAAAGAAGCGCTTTGCCATTGGGGGAAGTAGAAGCAGACCGTGCAACTAGCATAGTGATGAGGTTTTGCTTGAGAAAGGCGGGGATCCCATTAAGCCCAGCGTTTGGACCCTGGAAAGGAGTTTGGGTCAAGTTTTAAACGTGGAAATTATTCGATCTGATCTGTGTAATGTCCTGTTTCTTAATCATCTTTTCCCAAGCGAAATGGTACATCCCCCCAGGCCCCCCCCGCCCCCCAAAAAAAGTCGACAAAGCAAAGCATAGACAAGAGTGATCAGTGGCGGTTACTTGATCGCCTGCTGAGGAGGCGCGTGGGGCTGCCCAAACGGCGGGAGGGAGGGACTCAGCGATGAGGGCGGTCCAGCCTAAGCCTTGCTCTGCTGGGGCCCTCAGCTGCAGGTCCGGGCCCGCACCTCGGACCAGCCCCCTCCAGGTAGGCTCCTCCCCAGAGGAGCTACGCCGCCCTCCGCGACGTCGCCTCAGGCAGACCGGGTGGAGCTAGGAGCGTAGTCCCTGCGACTGTCTCCGGCTGGCACAAACCAGCGGAAGGCCGTAGAAGGGCCGGCCCCGCCCGCACCCCGCCGCTTTGAGCCCCAGGCCCCGCCCAGACGGCGCCATCTCCCCGACGCCCCTGCATTGCTCGCACGGACGACTCGCCCGCACGGCTCGGGACCGCGAGGCCTGGGAGTCGGGCTAGCCAGAGCAGCGGAACTGACGCAAGCGGACTTCCGGGGCTGGCCCCCGGGGAGGTCGGCGGCGGCGCCGCAGTCGTGGAGAGGCAGTAGGAGCGTGAGCGGCCACAAGCGACGCAAGTACCTCACCGAGCTCACCTCTCGTCTCGCGCTTCTCTCCTAGTCGCGTGCTGCCTCCCGCCGGCGGCTCCTCCCGAGGAGAGTTTTCGCCGCGGTTACTGAAAAGAGACTGTGGCCACCCCGCTCCGTGGCCAAGTGAGGCTGCCTGTCGCACCGCGTCGCCCCCTGCGCCGCCGCCTTGCCCCCAGTGGCAGGCGCCCTTCTCGCTCGAAGCACTCCCCCCAGCTCCATGAATGGAAATCGGCTCCGCAGGTGAGTGTCAGAGCTGTTGGCCGGGTCAGCGGGGGTGTCCCCAGAGCATCGTCGCTCCCTCAGCCCCGGCCCCCGTGTGCGAGGTCCGAGGTCCGGGCCCCTCCTCCACCTCCGCGTAGCCCCGCCGCAGTTCCCCGGAGCCACCGAGTGGGCGAAACTGCGGGGAGGGGACACTGCTTACAGGATTGAAGTTTGGGGCGCTCCAGGCGGTGTACCTCCTGGAGTCCAGAAAGGTTTGCCATCGCTTTCGTATTCGGGTTGGAGATGTAACGGTGTGTGTTCCCGTCGAGGCGCTGGGCGCTATTACTTACCTCTTAAGGTGGTTATGTAGATAGAGCAGATGAGGATTAAGTTTGGGTTAAGTGCAGCGTCAAATGCAAGATGGCATTTCTTCCATCCCCAGCTCTCTTCTGATGTCCGTGGCAGCCTGGTATATTCAGGGTGGGGCAAAAGTAGGTTTACAGTTGTCCGTATGGAAAATAATACAATAATTAATAAACAAGAATAAACTGTTTTCGCGTCCTCACAACTGTACACCTACGTTTGCCCTCCCTGTAAATTCTTGAGGCTCTTGGGAATTTCATATCAGGCTGGATCGTTGCTGGTGTGAGGAGGTGAATCTTAAAATTGCTGACAGTATTTTATTTTTCATTCTCTGTTCCCTAGAGAAGAGTTGTCATATTCCTGGAAATTTGGCACTTAAGAAAACCGCTTTCTCTCCTTGGGAAAAACGATGGTCTTGAGGAAAAAATGCAATTTGGGCAGGATTTATCTTAAAAGAAAAAAGCGATCTTTATGGTTCTTAAGTAATTGAGGAACATAAAGTAGACATTACATAACAGTTTGCTTTCCAAAGGATCATTCATACTTGACATGCTAAATTTGTAAGTTTGCTTCATCCAGATTGTCACAGACTTACAAATTAATTTTCAAAATATTGGTGGGGCAGAGGGTGTCTTGTTACTAATGGTATCATAAGCCCCTGAATTTCATATCTCACTTTGCCAATTTGGGAGGTGCCTGAATATGAGATAAGAAAAGCTTATATAAAAGAAACTGGTGGTTTAATATTAAATAATTTATTGACTAGGTTAAAGAGTATAAGTGTAAAGTAGGTGCAAAAGCATTCCAATGGTAGAGGTGGGATGGGGAGTTTTATTACAAGTCTTATTATATGGAGTTTTCTCTAATCAATTTGTGCTATTTCTCTTTTGCACCCTCCATTAAAAATATTCTTTTTGCCTTCTTCATTTGTCCTTTTTTTAAAGTGTCTGTCTGTCTCCCTCCCTCCCTCTCTCTCTCTCTCTCTCTCTCTCCATTAAGGTCTTTTTTTAATGTATATTTTTATTGATTTCAGAGAGGAAGGGGGAGAGAGAGAGAGACAAATATCATGAGGAGAGAGAATCATTAATCAGCTGTCTCCTGCATGCCCCACAATGGGGATGGAGCTAGAAACCCAGCATGTGTCCTGACTGGGAATCCAACTGTGACCTCCTAGTTCATGGGGTCTTCACTCAACCATTGAGCCACACCAACCCGGCTTCATATCTTCTTAAAAAGGGAAAGTTTGTCTAGATTGTGAAAAAGTTTTAGACTCTTATTTGTTTATCATTGGTTTGTGTTTTTCCAAAACTGTATCCTGCCTTCCTTTTAACTTTCTACTATACTTTTTAGAGAATGTGATGATTTGTGGATATAGGTGAATTTTACGTAACTATCCTGTTGTCAAGCCTGGAAAACAAAACATAAAACTTAAAAACACTTTGTTAATCATCCTAAAACTTTTTAAATATTTCAAAAAAATTTCAAAGATTTTTTTTTTCCTTCTTGGAGTTTTTTATATGAAATTATGCCCAATATATGAACAACATCTTAGAAAATCCTTCTAAAGTCAAACCACCTAGTCAACTGGTCCAACTAGCCAAGAATGATTCAGTAAATGCTCCTGTGAATTCTTGAGCTAAGAATTAGACATCTTGAAATGCAAAGTTTATTTTAAGTGCAGTTTATACATGATTGACTATAATCTCAAATGAAGATAAGGTATAATTGTCTTAAGGGTGTCATCATCAAAAACAAAATTTTCATTCTTCCCGAAACTTCAATGCAATTTTTGCTGCACATGAAATTAAAACTATATATTAGGGAAAATGTGCAACTACGTTTTAAATCAAGAATTTGACGGATATATTGTTTGGTTTAAACTTTTTATTTTAACTTAGCATTTACTTTTTATTGAATTTATTGAGTGACATCTATTTTCTATATATAGAAAAGCCTAAGTAACCTTTACGACTGAATGACCGGAACAACCAGTCGACCAGTCGCTATGATGCGCACTGACCACCAGGGGGCAGCTCCTGCGTTGAGCAGCTGCCCCCTGGTGGTCAGTGCACTCCCACAGCCAACCTCCCATGGCCCCTCCCCCCAGGCAGCGGGGGGGGGGGGGGGGTTGTAATAGGCCTCAATTGTCAGCCAGGCCGATGGACCCCACCTGTGCACGAAATTGTGCACCAGGCCTCTAGTTGGTTAATAAAATTATATAGGTTTCAGGTATACAATTCTATAATACATTATCTATATATTGTATTGTGTGTTTAGCACCCCAAGTGGATTTCACATCTAAAATCTTTAATCATTTTAAATGTAAATGTTCTTTAATTGTCTATTAAATCAATGCTGGATCTTGGCTCTCCAAGTCTTTTCTAAGTTTTTCTTATGTGTGATTATCCTCAGACCTCTTATGACAAGATATTTTAATTTCTAATTGTTAGGAAAACTTAAATTTATTCACATTAGAGCCTTTGAATACAAATACTATGTAATTGTCTCTTGGTGAATCATTCCTCACTAAAAGTTAATATTTCTCTGTTCTTCCCTTTGCATGAAATCTTTTAAATGATTTTTAAGGATCCTATACAAACTACTGACCTAGTACTTTGTGAACTTTTATTTTTAAATAAAACTGGCACAATTGGTTTTTAAACAATAATAAGAGTTAGCATTTGAGCCTATCATTCCTTAGTTAGGAGAACTTCTAAGGAAATCTATTTTTTATGGTTTAATTACAGCTGGACTAAGAGTATATGTTATGTTTTAGTTCCAAATTAAGTGGGGGTAGGGGAAACAGAAATATTCATTGAGGTTTTACTTCTCCTGAGGAGCTATTTTTTAAGACCATACTATTCTAGTTTGTTTTTTTAGGTAAAGTCAGACTACTGTTTAGGGCCGATGGAATTCTACCAGTCTTCTATTTTACCAATAGAAGAAAAAAATTCTACTTTTACCTTAAGTTAATGATACGCAAATTGATTTGAAAAGTTTGGTAATTGTCTTATATAGTCTTGCAAAAGTGAATAGACTATGTTTCTTAGTTGTACTTTTAAATTCGTGTTTGAACAATAGTTGTTTTAGGGCTCTGTATTCTTTAATAATAAAAATCAAGAAAAATCATTTGAGAACAAGTTCCAAAGAAACAAAATTTTATGTATGGAAGTTTGATTTAAATGAGGTTGGTAAAAGTGGATTCAAAATACAAAATAATATAATGCTGTTAGGTTGTCAGTTGAATATATAAAATAAATCTTTAATCACTTTGGGAAATGTTTTTATTATATAAATTTTTCTCTCTTGTAGAATTTGGCCTTGAAAAAATATAAAAATGCTGCTCTGGGAGGGCATGAATTTTGAACATGGAGAGTTTTTGTTTTTTGTTTTTTAAACTTGGTTGTCACTTAAATTTTACTTTGTGCTTCTCTAGCGTGGCCATTAAAACATTTTTTTTCTATTATTTGCTGTTCTTGATTGTCAGAAAATTGAATTTATACATTTATAAAAATATACAAGATTACTTTAATTTTTGTTTTAAAATTTAATTTTTCTGACAGTTGATAGAATACCCTGGGGAAAAACTAAAAAGGAGGCAAGTAATAACTTTTTTCTTTTAAACAGATTTTACAGGAAAAAAGAACATATACGTAACCCTGATATAATTCATTTAACATGATTAAGGCTCATGATTCCATCCCCCTGATATAACCACTCTTTAAATTTTTAAACCAAATTCCAAACTAGTCTATTAGTTTAAAAATATTTAAGACATTAAGTAATTTAGGAAAGCAGTTAGAATGAATGAAATGATTTCTAGATACTACTTAATTTTCCTTCGAATGTTATATAAGTTGGTATTTTAGAATTAATTTATATCTATTTTTTCCCACTGGGAATATTGTATGTATTTGATTTTGTAAGCCTGGCCTGATAGTATGCCTAGACAGAAGTCTAGGGCCCTGTGGAGCGGACGCATTTCCTGGAAGAATTCTCTGTTGTATATGGAAAAACCCTAGCTCAGAGTAGAATTCTTGCCAAATTATCATAAGCTATTAGATTCTAGTTTAATACTATGTTGCTTTATATCACAACTATCTTTTTTCACATTGGTTTCCATAGTCTTAAAATACTTGAGGGTCTACTTGAAAGGAGAATTAAATATTTTGTTAATTTTACAAAACATTTTCTTATACCTAAAACTAGAGACCTGGTGCATGAAATTTGTGCATGGGCGGGGGGTGAGGGGGGTGTCCCTCAGCGCAACCTGTACCCTCTCGCCGACTGGGACCCCTCGGGGGATGTCTGCCTACCCAGAACCTCTCAGGGGATCTCCCCCTTGGGATCAGCCTAAGCTGTCAGGCAGACATCCCTCTTGCAGTCCGGGATCCCTCTCACAGTCCGGGATCCTTCCTGCTCCTTACCGTCCACCTGCTTGCTGCTCCTTACCTCTAGGCTTGCTGCTTCTTAGCACTGCTGCGGAGGCAGGAGAGGCGTGAACCTGGCTTCTAGCTGAGTGGCGCTCCCACACTGACCACCGGGGGCAGCTCGTGCATTGAGCGTCTGCCCCCTGGTGGTCACTGTGCATCATAGCGACTGGTCGTTCTGCCATTCCGTCTATTTGCATATTAGGGCTTGATTATATAGGATTATATAGGATTAGGACCTTAAGT